CCACCCGCTCTTTTTACACACCTCCTCCTTCTCCTCCTCCATCTGCTCCTTCCACATATCTCCGTTTCCTCCTCCTCCACCCAATCCTTCCAAACACATCCCTCCTCCTTCCACATACCTCATTCTGCTCCTCCCACACACCTCCACCCACTCCTTTCAGACTTCCTCCTTCTCCCCTCCCCCACTTACTCCTTCCATACACCTCTACCTGCTCCTTCCATACACCTCCACCCGCTTCTTTCACACACCTCCTCCTTCTCCACCTCCTCTTTCTCCTTCTCTACAGTGAGCTTTGCTTTACATGAAGTTACGCACTTGGAGAACGGTGCTTATTTTTTGGCCACCCAGCCAGCTTTTGCAGAGATGTGAAGATGGAGAATGAAGCAACCGGTTTGACCACCCAACAGAAAGCACACCACGTGGTGCTCTTTGAACCTTTTCCCATAGATGTGTAATTCAACAACACCTGTATAGAACCTGGATCCCAGTTCCAGGACACATTTTACCGTGGTTTCACTGGAGGGTCACTCGGGAAGCCCACAAAATACACCACTATTCAGGAATTAATGAGAATAATAAGACACAGACTAATATTAATCAATCAATCAATCAATATGTCTGTTTGCCTGTCTGTCAATTTGTTAGTTTATCAAATTAAAACAAAAACAGACTAATAACAAGGATTTAAGAAAAATCAGGCAGTGCAAACTAAGTATATTTAGGACCAGACATGGGAGAAAAAGTTCTTGAAGCCTGGTGTTTTATTGTACCTGACATTTGTGCCTCCCATGCATTATGTGAACATGAGCTTCAAACTTTCGCGAAATGACAACAAGATAATAAAAAGGGTCTGCCAGTAAAACAAACAAACAATCAAAGAAAGAAAGAAACAAAAATCTAATAAGTGTAGCATTGATGCCATCTGGTGGTAATACTATAAACCGCTTCGGAGTACGAAATGTAAGGATCGTGCCTTTAGTGTTGGATGAATGAAGAGAATGACACCGTTGAGAATTTGCCTACAGCAATCAGTAAATTGATAGAATTATATCACGGAATCAGAAGGGCAGTGACTCTGGATTAGAGTCAGTAGACCAGATGATGATTTTCATAGACAACCTCTGCTGCAACAGAGCTTCGGAACATTGAACAAAGGTGCATTATATTTTGACAAAAATACAAGAAATAGCACAACACTATAATACATAGCACTTGTATGAAATAAAAGTGACTCCAATTCCTAGGCTTAGAATATACGACTGGTTATAACTTTAACCAGAATATTTCATCTAATAAACAAGTTATTCCAAAAGCTTTAACTTACAGTTCCAGACAATTAAAGTCAAGGAACAACTTAAGTCAGAATACATTTATTGAATATGATAAATTCCAATACTTCCACAATAAACCACTGTACAAATAGTATTTCACGAAACGTGCTATATACAACAGTATGAGACTTGACAGCTAAGAGATGATCTTGAACATCCTACCACTCATAGCATTTTTATTTTTTTCATTATATACAATCGTATCTGTGCCCTTTATGTACCTCGCTGCTGTAGGCCTATGCAAATTTACCCGTGATCAACAAAGTATATCTTATCTTATTGTTATATTTAGTTTTATTGCATTGTGGTTCAATTTTAAGTAATGTTCATTTAAAGTGTGTAATTAAACTAGGTCTTTTAAAGGTTTTTTTAATGGGGGGATGACTGAAGCCAAATAAAACACTGGGGGGGCGTCTCCCAGGCACCCCTAGTCATACATTGCTATATGATTAAGTTTTATAAATATGATATTCAGGCATGATGTTTCCAGTGTTTATATATACGCATCCGCATGCACGGTCGATTCAAGAAAAGCCTTTCTCACCAAGTTAATTCTTTCGGATAGCTGTGGCGTTGGTCGAGGCCGACCGAAAAACTACAACTTCCAGGTATAATAGCTCCCGGTCTGGCCTTGTGCGCATGCATGCGGCGCATGCCAGTTGGCCGCGACAGCCAGTGCCGTGGAACTGGGTAATTTCGTTCGAGGGAGGGTTATCCAGCTATCGAGTTAGCGGCGGCGAGCGTCGACGAAATACGCCCGCCGCGTAAAGATAGCGCTGGTCAAGGGAGCGACCAGGCGGACGGACTATAGGGAAACTAGCGCATAAAGGTGCTCGGTAAGCGACTGGTGTCCTCTGCGGCGTCAGGGAAGCTAACGGTAGGTGTGTGCGGCTAACGCTAGGCAGCCGGTTCTCGCGCCGGGGTCGCTCGAGGTGCTAGGCCTTCGGTTTTATCGTTAATGTCCGTTACCGCACAATCTGCCTTATCACGCCTTTGCCCCCGACCCTACGGCGGGGTGCCTCGTCGGCTTTCGCTACTCCGCTTTTAGTTTAACGTCATCAAGGCACGTTGTCCTCCTCATCCAAGTGCCCCACAGCGCTGCCCCATATTTCTGTCCGGTCGGAGCACCTTCGCTGGCGCTCTAATTGCGGCGTATGCGGCGGCTCAGTTTTCACAGCCTTAAAATCACACTGTTATCTGACGTTAAATTTTTATATAACGCGACCACTTCAGGATCGGGATCTTTGCATTGGCAGCTGCTGTTTACCCTGCCGTGCTGATGTGTACTCTAACTACTTGGCCTCTGCGGTTTGTCAGACTAATAGTTGGTATTTGAGATGTGTTAGAATGTCTGATGGTGTTGTATTGCACCCATTTCGAGTGATTCTCATTGTTAAGTGATGGGAGTTTAATACTTTGTAAACGTTCATTTACTTGTGTTTAAATGTACATAATTGTATGTGCCGTTGTTGTCAGATATTTTGTACTATTTTTTTACCGTGTTGGCAAAAGCCGTGCAAATTGACCACACATCTTAGAAATTTTTGGCACATACTTAAAGTGTTGCCTTTCTCCCTTAGAGGGGCTGGTGAACAGAAAGCTCATAGCAGCTTCTGGGGAATGAGGTTTTCTTGGTGTTTACCACTGCCGGGGTGGGAGGGGTCTGTCGGTGAAGGGCAGTTAGAGCCCGGATTGTCACGTACCGCGGCCGGCACCCGTGCGCAGGCTTTGCCAAATCCCGCCGCTCCCCTCTGTACTCTCTGCCGGCAGCTGCACGGGCCTGGCACGGGCAGGGCTATCAAGCGCCTGCATGCCCACCTGCTCTCCCCTCGCGCCGCCCTGGTGATTCCTCCCCTCCCCCTGCCGCACCCTGCTGACATTCGTCCGGTCCCCAACACGTGGCCTCGTTGTGGATTCGATTTACAGGTGGCGGGTGTACCGGCCATGATACGCGTGTGGCCACGTCCCTGGACGTTCGTGATTATGTAGCATGCAATGAATCGGCTCACGTGACGCGGTTGGATCTTACATTCATCTTTCCTGTTTTGTAGTATGCTGCCTTTAGTGCACAGACGTTGTCGGTACTGACATGCTCTCCTCTATATGATGGTTTGAGAGCATAATCGAAAGGCATGATGAGAGAGTAAAAGAATGAGCAGGATACGAGGTGTTATGGTGTTTTCACATTGCGGTGGGGGGGGGAGTGAGTTGGCTGCACTGGAGCGAGGAGGAGCTGGTGCGGCGGATGTGTTGCTATGCTGTCTCATGGCCAGGCTGTGGGGGAAAGCGAGGGCACGGGACAGATGAGCATTGTGCTGGCGGTCGCACGCTGTTGCCCCTCGGCCCATCCTACGTGGGTGCCAGTCGTGTCCCTCATCATCCCAATGCCCTGCTCCTGCATTGATCAGTTTGGAGATGGAGAGGTGGGTGGGGCCAAGTGGATTAGGTCAAGGGATCCTTGTTCTGTGGAGCAGGAGCATTGAACTTCAGTCTGTACTCCTGAATGCATCCTGATTGCACCATCCTGAGTGTGTGTGTGTGCGCGCGCATCTTTTGTCTTCAGTACTATGATGTCATATGAAAAAATACATATCTAGTTGTACTACTTAGCTGGCATCATATTCCATTTGCCCCCCAGCATGATGCCATGCATTCCCATTTTATCGAGTAATATTTTGGTATCTTGCCCAAGTGGCAGTGCTGCACATATGATTTGTGTACTTCTGTTGGCGTTCTTTGTCTGTTGTAATGCGCTGACCAGTTAGTCTATTTAGGGGAAAAAAAAATCCCAAAGGCAGAATGTTGGGATGTAAGGTCTAAGATGCTCTAAATATTTATTTAGGTTGTTTTCTTTTTTATGTAGATTTTTGTAGTTTTAAGTGCGTGTTTTTGATTTTAAATCTTGCTTTTTTTTTAAAGTCTACTTTTATCCTGGAAATAGAGGGCATTCAAAAACCTTATAATGGGCTTACTTGGTTAGCTGATCTCAGATTAAACAACTGTACTTCACAGTATGATTTGGCCAGAGTTTGTTATTCTAAACAGCACAACCATTCTCACATTTGAGAAAAGCCTTTCTGCCCCCCACCAAGGCAATAAACTCTTGGTGCTGTGACTGTGTTGACAGTGTGGATTGCTGTTTCATACTACAGGAAGGAAGTGGAGGAGGAGAGGAGAAGGGAGCTATTTTTCTCTCCAGGACATGTATGGGGTGGGGTGGGGTGGGGTGGGGGCTGCTATCACTGCAAAAAATGTCTCCCTGGCATAATTTCTTGACTGTTTGGCTTCTTTTGGGGCTTATTGGTAATTTGCTGTAATGTGATTTTTAAACTTGAGCAAAAGAAGATCTATTTATCTTTGGCTTGCAGTTGTGATTGTGTCTTGGGATTATGAAATTTGAGGTGTGGAGAGATCAGTCTTGTCAAAGTCTTCTTTCCCTAATTAATGTATGGCTTATTTATCTGTAGCATACTATGGTCTGGTAGTAAGCTTGTGTCAGCTATTTCAGGCTTTGTGATGAATTCTTTTATATATAACTGAATTTAATATAAATTGATATTAACATATTGGGTAGATAGCCATATGTTGTCTACACAGACATTAAAGATGGCCCGTAAAAACAGAGTGTGGATCAGTTTAAGAAACACTTAATTGCTACACAGGTGAATGCACTTTTTTGTGACATTTCATTGTTTCCAAAGACCATTCCTTGATTGGTGCTGTGAACCCCATCTCAGTAGGGCTGGGAGATGTTTTTTGTAATAGTTTGTGCTGGCGAATGAGTCGGCCTTGAGACTTCTGAAAACTACCTGAGAAGATGTTAAGTCCTGGTGTGAGTGTTCTGCTAACAATCTGAAGGGAGCAGTACATTCTGCAGAGAAAATCAGCATTTGGTGATCAGTGGCACACTCGCATACATACCCAACAGAATTATGGCCAGAGAATGTTAAACAGCGTATAAGGAAATATTCAGTAAGTCATCCTTCATCTGAAATACCTTGGTATTCTCCTCTTCACAGTACTGAATAGTCCTGGAAATCATGTATGTGAAGAAGAATTCTCCTTAATCTGGTCAGTGAACAGGATGCTAGTTATTAGGACATAGTTAAATAAACCGCTGTCCTTTTCTTCCCAAGAAATCTGACACTTATGTTTAGATTCCAGTATTTCCCGTTATGTTGGACTGTTTTTAAAATTTCTTGAATAATATTTTGTTTGGATTTGTTTGTGTGCCTCTTCTCATGGCATTTTAAAAGTTTGAGAATTTTTATTCACAGACTGCAAAGTCGTCGCTCTGTAGTTTTGGATCTGAATGCAGCCAGGGGAAGCTTTCTTCTATAGCAGATTTGTTAGGTCAATGTCATTCTACTTGCAATTTTTAGACAGACACTACTGTTTCACAGACTTCGTAAGTTTAAATTGTTCAGCATTTGCAGGATCATTGAGTGAGAAGTAAATATAATCACGGTGCAAGTAAATCTTTAACAGCAGATTGGTGGTTGTGGGAGGTGTGGAACAGTAAAGATGGTTAATACTCCAGCATTTATTTCAGGGAACATGCCAGTTAAAACTAGTGTTGCACTGATGTGGAAATTTTGACAGATATGATAACCGTTACATTTTTATCTAATATTACCAGTACCGATAACCGTCTAACCTCTGATCCATTTGAGCTGGCAGTGAAACTTGCAGACTAGGAGGAGGGGGGTGCCTGCAGAATTTAGTGGAATGATATTACATTGTCTTTTATCCTTTGTCGAAAACAAAAGATCCATCTGCGTGTCAGATTTAATAATGGATGAAAAACATGTCGCAGACCAACACTTTGAGACCTCCAAGTGGTGAAAGAGCCTGCAAAATCCCTGATCCTCCACTACAGAAAATGACTGATTGCAGTTCAGTCATCATCATTATTTTAGTAGTTATGTCTTTAGCTCTGGTGCAAACTTTGAGTATTGACTACAGTTGAAATATCAGTTCCGATGCTAATGTCTTAATTTTTAGCAAATACTAGCTGATACTGATAAGTTGCTTGATATGTCGTGCATCTCTAGCTGTCCATCTACTGACGGCATGTTGCCCCATGTTAAAAATGTCAGTCAGTGCTGCTGGCCCTAATTGGGTGGATGGGTGGGTTCAGGGTCTTTAGAGCTGGGATGAGTAACCCCGAAAAGTACAGAGATCGTGAGAAAAACAGGTTCTGGGCCCCCTGGTTACGCGTTATGCCATGGTGGCCTGGGGAGGGGGTAGACATGTTGCTTGATACCTTCCTAAAAGAGTCTGAGGGATTTTTAAAATGCTCCTTTTTCATCAAGACAGAAGCAAGTCCAGCCTTCGTTCCAATGTGTAGGCCAAGTGTTTATGTGCGCATGGTCGGGGTTTTTCTGCCAAATGAAGCCTATTAATAAATAAAGGGCCCGGAGATAAACTTCGAAATGTATAATTCTCCCAGAATGTCTTTAGTAACACCCTGGCTGTTAACAACATAATCCTGAGAAGTGCATAATTTTGCATGTATTTCAGGCTGAATTTCTAGCTTCCAGTTTTGACTGTCCTTTCCGTATCCCAGCAACCCACTCTCTTTCTCCCAGAACAAAATGGCACATAAAATGAGTGAAGCCCGAAAAAAAATTGGAAATAGCGTTGTAATAATTATTCAGTTTTTAGCTCATTATTACCCAAACACCATTACATTATCACTTTCAAATGCATTGCCAGCGATAAATCTTGTGGCGCTGCTTTTTTTCCTTTTCCCCTGATGTCAAAGAGATTCTCTTTTAATCCGATTTTCGGCAGTGCTTCCCAGAGCTCACTGTGCTTCTTGCCTGCAGTTCCTTGGAGCATATGGCTGGGATGTGCGTCAGAATATCTTTAGATCCTCTTTGGCTTCTGTAAACTTTTCCAAGTGATCTCTGTTGATTTATATGTTGGTGTGGACCTTGTTTATATCATATATCCAGTGTGTTTTTGAAATTACCTATTTATCTGCTGGTTATTGCTTGGTTGTTTGCATTTTTGTTTTTTTGAGCATGACATTCCTGGAACAAAAATGACAGCATAGTTGCGTGTGGAGCAGGTTCAGTTCGTATGTGCGCTGGACAGGGCAAGCCTGTGAAAGTCCCGTGTGTGTAACGGGGATGACTTTCTTTGACATCACCGTCTCACACTCATTTTCTGTCACAATGTACTTGAGACTGTCAACTGCACTCTTGGCAGCCCGCAAAGGCCTAAAAATAAGAATGACAAACTTCCCGCCGATTAGTTATGGTGTCCTGCCACATTCCCAGTCCTTCCTAGCATAGGCTTCAGGCCCACAATGACCCTGTCTCAAAAAAGCAGTTATGGAGGAGGGGTTGTTGTAAGGATGGAGAAAGTGACACGGATTTTGCTTAGTTTTTCTTGTTTTACATTCCCTGTGTCTGATAGTGGACATCTTTGTCAGCAGGTGAGCATCTGTTAAACTGTGGACTGTCTGTTCTGCTTTTATGATTTCTATCCATCTGCTAGTGTAAATTTTTACTAAATACAGTACATGCAAAGGTTTAACAATAGAACCCATTCTGGCTTTCTCGTTTGTTGGCTGGCGGCCCAGTGTCACACAGGCACCGCAGACATGCAATTGTTATTGGCCACCACCGCCCTACCTGCCTCGTCACTGTTTCTCTTCTGCATAAGGGTTTCGCTTCACCCAGTCGTCAAGAGCATGGCACGCCCAACTTCTCCCTTTTCCGCAGACAAAGCCAAGCTTAGAAGCCTGCGGGAAGTGGAGTGATAGCTTATGCAAGGTTTCAGTGTCTGAACATAAGTCTGCTTGCTGTTGACAGTTGTTCTGCAGTTTAAGTTGGCACCAACAAAATAATGGGAGACGTTTTTCACTTTAATTATTCAGTTGAGATGTTCCTGGTGTAGATTACATGCAGTTCCTCAGGTGAGAGGCAGGTGGCAGGCCTATCCCCCCAGGGCATAGTCACATTTACGAGCTCATTTATTGGGCTGCATTCTGTGTTTTTCGGTACATTTCTCTACCGAATGGCTCCTTACATTGTTGTGAGCAGCTCGATCAGCTCATTTTTCTGCTTACTCTACTCGAACATGACGACCACAGGAATCTCCCCGCCTCCATCTTCATCGTCCGGGAGATAGCGGCAGCTGACATAAACAAACCTGCCCGTGCCGGTGCCTGGCACTGGAACTCTGGGCATCTTGTTTTCTTGTTTTGTCAGGTTTGTGTTTGAACGCTTTTCATACAATGATATCACACTCAATAAAAAGGCCTCTAACCTTGTGTGACAAGTCCTGGTGGTAGAAAACAGCAGTGGGGGTATTATTGTGTGCAGTTGAATTCACTACCTAGTTTAACGTGATCTGAGGTTGCTGTCATTGGTAGTTAAGTACTAATTAAATTCTAATTAATTTGAATATCTCTTGTCAATATTATTTTAAAGATAATATTTATGAAGCTTTTTCCACCTGAAGTCACCATCGCATCCAGATAGTTCTGTTGCTTGTCCGCTTTTCATGACCGTAAGAAAGCTGAAAGCTCTGCTGGCTTAATGGGCTGTCCATCCCTACAAGCCTGCCTGTTTTTCTGGTATACAAAGGGTTCATTGTGTCAAGGAATGCTTCAGGAAATCATTCAGATTTTATGCATTCCCTTCAGTTTCTGCGAGAAGGGCTAATGCGATTTGCATCTCTCTCACATGCCTCATGATAGCAACGGGCACTCCCAGACATGTTTGTGATGCAGGGCATTTTGGGGTGGGTGCAGCGTGGGTCCAGCTGCCGTCGACCGGGGCTTGTTCTGCCTTTTTCTGTACTGAGAGGCGTACCTCATTAAGGACCCACTCTGCCCCCCCCACATCCACCCGGCCATCTCTGAGCTGGCTGCTTGAGAGGACCTTCCATCCCCTCAGGACACCGGCCCTCCTTCCTGTTTGCCTCTTTGTGTATCTCTCATATATGTGCTTTCACCGCCTTTGTATGCCGACATTTGTCCCGTCACCATGATTCTCTTTGGCAATCGGGACAGCACCACGTGGTCACCCACCCGTCCAAAACATATTCACTGTGAAGAGAGAATTCACTCCTTTTAGATATTTTTGTTTTAAAATTGATTAGATTTGCTTACTCAGCTGCGGAAGCACTTTTATCAGTGTGGCAGTCTGTAGTAGGCAGGCTGCTGTGTAGCAAGTTTTTACTGGTGTTTTTTGTTGTGTGTTAATCTTTAATGTATATTTGTTTGGTTTAACGCTTCTAGAACATTCTGTATTTGACTTGTTCCATTTGATATTTTTGCTGTTTTACTGGTTCTTCAGCTCCCAGAATGCACTGCTCAAGTCGATGTATTTGGTTTTCTTTAGCAGTCCTTGTCTTCTGCGTTTGATCCGGCGAAGATGGTGAAGCCAGACATCCAGACTCTGGCCCACCACCTGAAGCAGGAGCGGCTGTACGTGGCCTCTGAGAAGCAGCTGATCCAGAGGCTCAATGCTGAGGTGCTGAAGACCGCCGAGAAGTTGTACCGTGCGGCCTGGATCGCCAAACAGCAGCGCATCAACCTCGATCGACTCATCCTCACCAGGTGACTGCCCTGGGCCTCTTCAACTGAATTCAAGGTTCCACTGGGTCTGTTTTAGTGTCAGGCACTCTGACTACTGTCCATAACACCATAGAGAAATTTCAGTAATAAAACAATGAATAAATAGCATCAGCAGACATAACCACAACGGTTACAACACAACAGTGAAACACGATCCAGATACCTCCCCATCAGTGCCATAAAAGGGGGGGGGAATGTGGCCAGGTGTGAATGGCTCATGCATACACATAAGAGCTCCACATATTCAATGATAGGAGACCAGAAATAGTGACATGATTTCTTATTTATTTATCCAACTGAATGTTGCAACTACACCATTTAGTCATCTTCATGTAGACTTTGGTGATCAGATATCTGGGATCAAAGAAAAACTTCCACCATTGCTTACTATGTACTTTTATAATGTTTCTGCAAATGCTCCAAACTGCATTTTGCAATGTCTATACTTTGATGTCAAATTACAAACTTCACATAAATCTGACATATTTACAAAGTACACTAAGATTATGATGAGTTTAATGCCAAAATATATAATATATAAGAAATAATTTATTTCCCATGAATTACGTTTATGATGTTGAATGAAACGTGTGACCATGCCCCAGTCAGGGAGTGTGTTCCCTACCCCTAGACCCCAGAGGGTCCCTGGCAGCAGGGTTTCTTGGCCAGTCCTCAAACAGGTCGATGAGTGACTTATCTACTTACTCCATCCTGTAATTAGTGTGTTTGCTGCTTTTATGATTATGTTTTTTTATATGATGTTATTTTATGTTTAAAAAAACTGTCTTTTCTCCTCTGTCTCTGTATTTTATAAAAATGACTCTGGGAGATACGCACAAGAATTCCAATGTACTTGTACTGACCTGTACCTCTGCAAATGGCAATATCCATTCATCCATCCATCCATACACACATACATACACACACATACATACACACACATACATACACACACATACATACACACATACATACACACACACATACATACACACACACACACACACATACATACACACCAGGAATCTGTGTATAAACGTTGTCGAGATGTTAGCCCAATGAATCAGCCGCCACCTGCCTGGGGTCGTCACGGTGCTGGACCCCTGTTAGCCGATAATAAGATTGTCTTAGTTGCTTAGGGAAGGAGGTGGGGGTCCTGTCAGTGCAATGGGTATGGGGCCTAGGGTGGGGGTTACTCTGCCACAGTGATTTCACACATTGCTGCCAGTGATTCAGATTGCTGTTACAGTGGTTTGGGTTTTTGCTTGTTCTGCTTGGGGGGGTGTCATCGTGTCATCTCCTATGAGGCTGCTAGCTTCTTCCTTGTGTAATACTAATACACCCCCCCAGTGTGTAGCTCTCAGAAGCCCCCTAATGACCCTGGTAATGCCGTGCCTGAACGTGGTGCCCATAGCTAATGAGGTGCACCTCCCTGTAGCTAGTGATGGCTTGCCGGGGAGTTCGGTGTTGAGTACATTACTAGGTGCTAGAGGTGGCTGATTGCTGGCCCTCAGACTTCGTAGCCATTCCCACCAGAGGTGTGACTTTTGCCAAGCTTCTCCAAGCAAATTCAGGAAGTTGAGGCTGTGGAGTGGACCTACTCGTACCCACTGTAGATAAGGCGAGAGTAAGTGGAAATCTGGGAGTTGCTGTGGTGATCAGCAGTGATTAGCGGTGATCAGTGAAGAAGCAAGCAGGGCGCAGGTGGTGTGACTGGGGCCAAAGCATGAAGGCTTTGAGGGTGGGCAGACGTCAGCACGTGTGTCAGTGTGTGTCTGTGTCTATATCTCCATGTCTGTCTCTGCATGCATCTATATATGCTGTGATTTAGGGCCTTGCTCAAGAGCCCAACAGTGACATAACTATACCAGCTACGGGATTCGAACCGACAACCTTCTGATCACAGAGTTGTAACCTGCAGAGCCACATACTACCACTCTGTCAAGTGTTTTCCTGAGAATCATCGGAGCCAAGTGCTAGACTGCCCCTAGAAAATGTGCTACAAAGCCTAGATAAGCTTAAAACAAAATAAATTATAGGGCCCTGATGGCATCTTACCTATAGTTTTAAAAGAAATGAGGGATATTATTTGCCGACCTTTATCTTCACTATTTCAGAAATCCTTATCTGCTGGTGTGGTACCTTCTGATTGGAAGCATGCTAATATAACGCCCATATTCAAAAAAGGGGATAGAAGTAATCCAGCAAACTATAGTCCAATTAGTTTAACTCGCATAACTGGAAAAGTAAAGGAAGCTATAATCCAAGCGAGAATGGTAGATTACCTGGATTCAAATAACATTCTGAGGGATAGCCAGCATGGATTTAGGTAGATCCTGTTTAACTAATCTGCTTGAGTTCTTTGAAGAAGCTACAAGACAGATTGATCACAAAAAGGCCTACGTTGTGATCTATTTAGATTTCCAGAAGGCCTTTGATGTTGTCCCCCACAAACGTCTCCTGCTTAAGCTCAAAGCAGGAGGGATTTTAGGAACTGTAGCAGCTTGGAATTAAAACTGGTTAAAAGACTGAAAGCAGTGCGTAGTTATGAGAGGCACAATGTCAAAGTGGGCCTGCGATCATAGTGGGATACTACAGCGTTCAGTATTAGGACCACTGTTATTCATAATGGGATGGTGTGGTGGCACAGTAGTTAGAGCTGCTGCCTCACAGCAAGGAGGTCCTGGGTTTGATCCCGGGTCCTTTTTGTGTGTAGTTCGCATGCTCTCCCCGTGTTCACGGTGGTTTTCGCTCCGGTTTCCTCCCACGGTCCGAAAGTGTGCAGGATAAGTTGATTGGTGAGTCTAAGTTGGCCCTGTAGTTGTGTGAGTGTGTGTGCCCTGCGATGTGTTGGTGACTCCCCTGGGTTGGTTTCTGTCTGCGCCTATTGTTCCCGGGATAGGCTCCAGTCCCCCCCGCCACCCCGGTTGGGATTCGGCGGTTTCAGAAGATGGATGGATGGATGGACGTTATTCCTAATTTACATGAACAACATTGAAACCAATATATACAGTGACCTAATTAAATTTGCAGACGATGCCAAGGTGGGTGGTGTGGCAGATACTGAACTAGTGGCACAGAGGCTACAACGGGATCTTGATTTAATTAGCGACAGTGCTGATACCTGGCAGATGAAATATAATGTAGACAAATGTAAGGTAATCCATGCAGGGAGCAAAAATATAAAGTACAGATATTTTATGGGTTTCACTGAAATAAAATAGCGGATTATGAGAAAGACCTCGGTGTGTATGTTGATGCTTCCATGTCCCACTCTCGCCAGTGTGGGGAAGCAATAAAAAAAAAGGCCAATAGAATGTTGGGTTATATCTCTAGGTCTGTGGAGTTTTTGTCAAGGGAGGTGATGCTACAATTATATAATTCCTTATTAAGTCCCCACCTAGAATATTGTGTGCAGGTTTGGTCACCATACCTTAAAAAGGACATTGCTACCTTGGAAAGGGTGCAACGTAGGGCTACAAGAATGATTCCTGGTCTTAGAGGAATGTGTTATGAGGACATGTTCCAGGTATATAATATTCTAACTGGATGCTAACCAAATAGTTACTTAAGTATTAGTTCAAATACAAGATCTTGTGGCCATAGGAGAACATTTTACACTGGATTTGAGGAAGCACTACTTTACACAATGTGTAGTTAAGAGTATGGAATAGTCTTCCTGTTAGTGTAGCGCAAACTAAAACCTTGGGTTCCCTTAAAATCAGAGCTAGATAAGATTGTAAGAACTCTGAGCTATTAGCTGAGTTCTCCCCAAGCGAGCTTGATGCGCCAAATGGCCTCCACTCATTTGTAAATTTCTTATGTTCTTATGCTAATGTGCCATATAGCTTCAGGAGAAAGCTAAGCGCAAGGTGCAGGGGGAAGGACGGGTCCTGCAGGCGGCTGCTGCTGCCTTGAGGAAGGCAGGTGGTCTTCTGAGATGTTTTAAGTGGCCAAATTAAATGGATGCATCTTGCTACTAAATCAGCATGTAGATGAGCCTGGCTGGAATGCAAGTTATATATGTGAAGAATTTGCAAGCTGTCTGATAAAACTGTACTTAAATTTGTCAAATTTACAGGCACAAAACAAAGGCCTAGAGACTAAAAACTGCTCTGAAGGGGGGGGGGGTGGTATTTACAGGGTGGTGATTCAGAAATCCTGCCTTTTCTTGTGGGTGTGTCATGGAGCCTGTAGTCAGTGCAGGGAGGCAAAGCATGTACTGAATGACCCTGAGTTGTGGTCAGCTTTTGTCAGCATGAGAAGGAAGCCTACTGATTGTGAAGCCTACTGCCAGGGGGTTTGGGACAGCGTATAACAGTGCTGTAGAAACAAAGCTTACAGTAAAGATAGGGGGAAATGGCTCCGAACAAGCTGCAGTGGGTGGACACTAGACGACAGGAAATGTAAAGGAGTTGTGGGCAGGCGCTGGCGTGGATACTGTATTTGTCAAGGACATAACGTCACCTTTGCGCAAGGTCAGCCCTGGTGCCTACACAAACCACAGACCTCAAATGGAAACTTGTTTAGACTGGATCAAAGAGAGCGTTTCCTCACACAGAAGCTGCAGCTTTAAATAAGCCTCGCGGTGCTGTGAAATTTCTCCAATTCAGCAGTTGATAGTGTCTCAGCAGCACTTTGACTTAAATGTATCATATGAGGGTGACTGGAGTCATCTCATTCACGCTATTCCTTCCAGTCCTGAGTCATGGTGATCATGGGCCATTTGTCGTCGTGACTTTCATGATGGATGCCCAGTCTTCTGTCCCGTTTCTTTAGGTATGATTGTTCTTTCTACCCCGGTTTACAGTGTCTGTCACTCTTGTGACGATTTTGTAGGAAATGTGTTAAAATTCTGGCTGTTTTTATATTTATATATTCAGTATCTGCAGGAAAACCTTCGCTGTCCTATAGGGATGTGCGATTTGACAATATTAGATCATGAACAAATGAAAGGTTTCCATGATCTGCCTTTACAGAGAGATCACTAGCTACAGTGCACATTTTCTCAGCTGCTGTTACAGAGAGATCACTAGCTACAGTGAACATTCTGTCAGTTGCTGTTCTATGGCACTTGAATGTATCTTAAGTTGTTTTGTCAGCCAAATCCACTCGACTCACCAGTAGACCAGTAATGGCAAACAGTCGGTAGTACCTTGGACATCCTACTCTCTCCCTTTCGTGTCCTCGGTCCAACACGCAATGCACACAGTGCAGGCAACATAGCAACATGGACGCCATGCAGGAACCGGTTTCTAAAAAGAATTTAAAATGGGTAATATTTTTTTCTTTTGGGATTTTTTACTATATAGGGCAATATTTAAAAAAAAATAAAAAATATGGGAATTGGTTTGCGAGTTACTGAACAGTACAACCGAATAAGAATTGTAATAAGACTGTGGATTGTGATCCTGCCTGAAAAAATTGTGATATTTTTGCCATACTGCCCAGCCCTACCCTCCTTTGTATCCTCCATATCTGCTGAGAAGGTCTCCCAGTCCCTTTTGTCACCTGTTGAGGTTGTGCCCTGCGTGGGGCACCTGGGCCACTTCTAGATTAGAAACACATCTGAGGGAACAGCAGGGAGAGACAGGAGCCCGTTGGGGCTGTTAGTTAATCCCTGCGGGCCAAGTTGGCCGTTTTGCTGTCTGGCTCAGTTTACACCGATTCGAGCGCCAGACCAGTTTGTCGTCGTTACTATCATTTATTTATATAACATCATAAATGATGTGAACGAGGGAGGGCTCGCTGGCATGGTGGTGTGTCCAGGCCTCTGAGCCGCTTAGCAGACTCAGCCAGCTGTCTCTGAATTAGTCCGGGGATTTGGCCTCGACTGCGGCACCGCCCACCCTGTTCCAGACTTCTGTTACCCCTGGAGGGTGGACAGGGCTTCCGTCTTTAACAGATCGCAGCGTGTTTGCACTCTTGCCCTCTGCCGTTTCTCCTCTCATCTGTCCGCCGCCAGCCCCACGCTAATGCTAACGCTAACCCCCCATTCCCACCAGTGCGGAGGCCTCCCCAGCCGAGTGCTGCCAGCATGCCAAGGTGCTGGAGGACACACAGTTTGTGGATGGCTACAAGACCCTGGGTTTCCAAGAGAGCATCTATGGGGAGTTCCTGGGCCGCCTGCGGGAGAACCCGCGGCTGGTGGCCTCCTGCCTGGTGGCCGGTGGAGGGCTGAGCCTGGAGCCCACCCAGAGTGTCATCCACACGGTGTTCACCTCGCTCTACGGTAACTGCATCATGCAGGAGGACGAAAGCTACCTGCTGCAGGTGAGCCCACTCATGCAAAGGCCGCGCTGCATGTTTGATAGAGTTGGCTGGAACCCCTCTGGCTCACATGTCGTCTGCTATCAACACCCCCCCCCCCAAACATCTGCATAGTCACACAGACAAATGAAATTGAGTGTCTTTTTTTGTAATTATTTTTAAAAAGTTGACTTATTGTGAGACCTGTAGTCGTGTGAGTGTGTGAGCCCTGCGATGTGTTGGCAACTGCCCTGGGTTGGTTCCCGCCTGCACCCATTGTTCCCGGGTTAGGCTCCGGTCCCCCCTGCGACCCCAGTTGGGATTCAGAAAAAGGGTGGATGGATGGACTTATACCATATACAAAAATTGAATATGTGTAAGAAATTTTCAGGCTTTGTTTATACCTGCACTAACAATATGCATACCATTTCTTTTAAATGGCAATTTTGTTTATTTCCTGAAAATCTATGGACATCTTGCGTTGTGGTGTGTAAAGGCACCAGAAACCTGGATTGAGTTAGTTTATTATGATAATACACAACAGCACAATAGCTGAACTTTTCTGGAACATGTATTTTCAGCAATAATATTACTGGTAATATAGAAGCACGCATGTCGCCCCCCCCCCCCCCCCCGCCCACACACACATACAGAGCTTGATAGGTAGCTAGAGGTGAATAACTAACCCAGGATCATTGCCTACATGTCGTTGTTCATAAAACAGATATAATGAATACGCTGATCTACAACTGCAAAGGTCTTTGTTCATGTCTAAACACCTCTAGGTACACATACATAGATATAAGGATAATCTGCACAGTGACCTACCGCTTCTGCAGGCAAATGAAACTGTGAAGAACTTAAGGGGCATCATTTCCTTAGAGGCAACCCCACAAGATTTTTAAAGTGACAGAATACCAGACCAGAATGTACATATGTACACCTGTGGTATAATGGCAAGTGGAAGCATTATTAACCATGTTACAGCTGCCCCCCACTGGCCGCTTCTGTGATATCAGAGGCGAAGCGCTCGCCTTGGCTGTGTAAATGTGTTTCAATGCAGTCCCCAGCCCACCTTATCCTTTATTTTACCAGGAAGGTTCCATTGAGATACAATATCTCTTCTTCCAGGAAGTCCTGGCCAAGATGGCAGCAAATAAGAAAAAAGACATTCATATACATACATACAGAGGTGATTGATATGAACACAGACTAAAACACATACAAATACTCAAACTATACATAGAATAAAATTAATGAAAAGGAGCCTAGGCTTAGAGCAAATGATTGTGAATGTGCCGGCAGCATTTCCTGGTGCGTGCCTCTTTACGTTACGCATTTCAGCGGCAAGTGAGAGAATTTGGTGGATATGTAGAGGGAGATGCCTGCTCACTTTCACACGCACCACCTCCTTGGGTAGGGCCCGCCCTATACCTCCATTGTCCCTGGATCTGCACAGACCCTGTCTAACCATCCCAGCCATCTTAAGCTGGAGTAGAGCAGAAAAATCTCAGTGCTACCCTGTCCTGCAGGATCATGGGGCTGTATGTGAGCTCTCTGTTGCTTTTCCAAATAAGAGATCTCTGGCGCGCTCCTGTTGGCCCGTGCAGGTCCCCTTCGGCATATTGATAGTGACCTCAGGCCAACCAGCTGGTTTTAATCTGGGCCTCCCTCGCCACGCCCCCTCAGGTGCTGCGCTACCTGGTGGAGTTTGAGCTGAAGGAGAGCGAGAACCCGCGCCGCCTGCTGCGCCGGGGCACCTGCGCCTTCAGCATCCTCTTCCGGCTCTTCTCCGAGGGCTTGTACGCAGCCAAGCTCTTCCTGACGGCCACGCTGCACGAGCCCATCATGCAGCTGCTGGTGGAGGACGAGGACCACCTGGAGACGGACGCGGCCAAGCTGACGGAGCGCTTCACGCCGGCGCAGCAGGAGCGCCTCTTCGGCGAGAAGGGCTCCGAGGGCTACAAGCGGCGCGTGCAGGCCGCCGTGGAGGCCAACGAAGCCAAGCTGGTGGCGCTGGTCAACAAGTTCATTGGCTACCTGAAGCAGAACACATACTGCTTCCCGCACAGCCTGCGCTGGATCGTGTCGCAGATGTACAAAACGCTGTCGCGCGTCGAGCGCTTGGAGATGAGCGAGGTACGCACCATGTGCACCGACCTGCTGCTCACCTGCTTCATCTGCCCGGCCATCGTCAACCCCGAGCAATACGGCATCATCTCGGACGCGCCGATCAACGAGGTGGCCCGCTTCAACCTTATGCAGGTTAGGGCGCCGGGGAGAGGGCCGGGCCGGGCCGGGCCGGGCCGCCCTGGGTGCATGCTCATCTCTGGTGAGGTGGGGGTCACCATTCCATTATACAAAACCCCTTTAAGATGAGTACAGTGATGGTGGGGAGGTCCCTTAATGGAATCTGGAGAACGCAGACTTGATTTCCTCCAGTGCTCTTTCCTACGTCCGTCCAGGTCACTCTTTGCAAGCCAGTTAGCCCACACAGCACTAGCTGGGCTGTATGAGCTGGGTTGCCTGCAGTAGCGCTGTATACTTTGCCTCTCACTGTTTTTATGTATGAATATTAATTGGGGGGGGGGGGCACACTGTCAGCCCCCTACCCCCCTTCCTAATTCTGCTGTCCATGCACATTCATCCTGTGTTCTGCCTCCTTTTTGAAAAGCCCCCCTTGTATCCCCCTCATAGGTGGGGCAGCTGTTGCAGCAGTTGGCCATGGCAGATGTTGATGAGGGAGACCCACGACGGAAGGGGGGTCTGTCCAAGTTCGATAAAGTAAGCTGAAGCCCCTCTGGCATCTGCGCAGTCGCCCTGAAACAATGCAAATGAAATCCATTGGCAATTCTTTAAAATTATTGTATTTTGTTTATTGTATATATATTTCAATTTTTTTCAGACTTTATTCATAGTTACACTAATGATACAATTTATTTAAAACATTTTAAATGATAATTTAAATGCCAATTTCATTTTTTTATTCCCTACCGATCTATTGACCTGTCCTGGAGCAGCTCTGCTCAGAGGGGCCGCTCTTTTCGCCCACCTGAAACAGCTGTTTCTGTATGGAGAGAGCATGGCCAAGATGGATATATGAATGGCTAGCAGTAAATCAGTTTAATTCATCAACCAGCTTTGTCTTCTAAAAAGCCAACTTTGGACTCAGTACGCCTACCAGAGGAAATACCAAAATGAACTAGCTCTTTAAAAAGCAAGTTCGTCGAGTTGTGCAGTGAACTTGTAATTGACCTGCATTATGGAATTTAATTTCAATCCTAAACACAAATTGACCAGTATTAATTTGTTTTACTTTCCGTTGTAGTTCACTATATTCATCGAAAATCGTTAAATGAAGGTTAGCTCTGGTCCTGGAGAACTCCAGTTCCTCGGGTTCCCAGTCTGGTTCCCAGTCTGCATGATGTTGTGATCTCCATCTGGAGATGCTTTGATGGGGCTCCCCACATCACCTGCGCTGCTCTGACTGCCCCTGTCAGTCTGGGTGTTGTGTGCTGCCGATGACTTACTCTGCATCTGAGTCTCAGCATCTAGGCAGCAGAAGGTGCTACTTAGGATGACATTTATCCAACTCTGGGTGCAGTCTAGAGGTGTTTCTCTATATTTGTACTCGACTGTACTTGGGTTCTTGTGTACCCATTCCAATACTCGAAAACAGAAGTACAGAAGACTGGATGTAGTTCTCGTGCCAACCGATATATCACGGATACATTGGTTGCATCCTCACTGAACAAGACCGATCCCATGATTCATTGCACCCGAAGTTCATGAAACACCCTGAGACCCGTGTTGTAATGCTGTAAGTTATGCTGCCACGATTGCCAGAACATTGGTTTTGTGCTTCCAGAGCTGTGTTGCTGCTTTCCTCGACGTTGTGATTGGTGGGCGAGCTGTGGAGACGCCACCCATGTCCTCCATGAACCTTCTGGAAGGCCTGAGCAGAACAGTGGCTTATATAACTCAGAACCAGCTCTTTTCACTGGTAAGACCAGGTCTCTGACTCAGTAGGGTTGTATAAATTCCCTGTATACTGTAATGATCAGTTTGCAGGCTTCTCCTGTAAAATGATCTGTACTGTACCTGGGTCTCCTCCGTGCATGTCTCTCTTGGCCCTCAACTCTGCGGCACTGCTCCCACTCTGGCATGATGCTAGTGTTGTGCCATGTATCAGGAAATTCTTTAGGGTCACAGATAGAATAAACATGGAAGTTGTGTTTGTGAAGAGTCTTTGTTAGATCCCTAGAGTCCTCGTCAAGTCGATGGAGACGTTGTCCTCGCTGATCCCCGCAGGTGGACTTTGTACGGAGCGTGATGATGGGTGACCAACTCCGGGAGGAGGAGCGGCTGGCTCTGGAGACCCTGCTGGTCAACATCCCTCAGTCACGTGCGGCCAAGAGCAACAGCCTGGAGCTGACGCCCTCCAACACGCCGCAGCTGTCCCCGGCCACCACGCCGGCCAACCGCAAGAACCGCCTGCAGATAGGTAACCACCGCCGAAACGGCCGCGTGGCAAACCGGACACAGAGCGCCACAGGCCCTCCTTTAAGAAAAACGCAGAAGACTGCCTTCGGAATCCCCTCAGCTGACTCTACAGCCTCCTCGCAGGCCGAACAGTCCAACCAGGGCCAGCTGGGATTCATTCACTAGTAGGATCAATTAGCACAGAAATGCCAAAGCAAATGAGTTCCCCTGCCAGTAAGACCCACACATGTGCCTGCGACACGCGGCCCTCCCCTCCGCCCCATCTCCTCCACTTCCTCCTCTGCGTCCTGTCAGGTGGTTTAGTGTGTAGCCTTAACACCCAGGGTCCTGTCCTGGGGCAGCGTCCTGCCCTCTCCTCCCAGACTGTCCTCTCAGCAATTGCAGCTAAATTGGTATTTATTTTTATTATATATTTTTTTGTTGCTAACGGCTTGATCATTTTCGGGGAAAAATGAGCACCTTTCACAGCCTATTGCCATATGAGTAAAAATGTTGAAATGGGTTTAGAATGGAGCCTTTAAGGAAGGCAGATAATGAGGTGCTTAGATTATTAGAGTGTCAATTAACAGCATCTGGGAAGGGCAGTATTACAGCGGTGACAGCCAATTATATTACAGGATACGAATGGACTGTCCGAGGTGCAGGAAGGCCCCTGCGTGGCTCCGTGGAGATACATGCGACTTGGCCGGTTTTTATCCAAAGTGACGTACATTTTTGGGGGAAAGCAGGATCAGCCAGTTCCTGCAGGATTGGGGTTTAAGATCTTAGGGACCTCACAGCAAAACCACTCTGCCAGCCCTGGGATTCAAACCGGCAGCACTCTGATCTTTGATTCCGAGCACCCTGACCCACTGAGCCACACTCGGGCCTTCTCCTTGGGTTGGACCCAGTGACTTACCAGTAACCCCCTGTCCTGGAAACCCTCGACTCCCCCCTTCCCAAAGCGTTTTGGCTTTAGAGGTCCTGCTGCAATGGGTGAGTGTGTGTCGTAGCTCATGCTTCCGGCATGAGAAAGCCCAGGGAAGGTTTAATGCAGAGGCAGGACGGGCCGCGACCCCACCCCATCTTCACAGAGGGCAGGAAGACTGAGTGACCCAGCACTCTCCTGTCCCACTGTTAAAACGGGTGTCCTGGTGTCGCTCGTCGTCTTGCACTTGCCCGTTCTTACGGCCTTCTCTCCCTTCATCTTCCCCTCTTCTCTCCCTCTCTCTCTCCTCTGCTGCCAATGAGCAGGACAGCAGCTGGTGGCCATCACATCCTGGGACCCCTCTACCACCGCCCTATCTGCACACATTCCTTTAGTCACCCCTTTTGGTGGGTACCCCCCCCCCCCCCATCGTGTGCCCTCCCCCCCCATCGTGTGCCCTCCCCCTTGGTGCAGGGGGAAGGCCTCCTGCAGGTCGCTTGCCTATGCACACCGCCTTTGTTGCCCCACTCGCAGACAGCCATGCTGCTTCATGTCTCCACACATCTTGTCTTCATTCACACCCCTGCTCCCCATCGTGCTCATTGTCCCGCCAGCGCTCCCCTGTGTTGAGGAAGACTCTCCCTCCAGTGCAGGTCCCGCTGTCTGTGTGCCGCTGAAACATGGTCCAGCTTCAGTCCTTCATGTGTCTGTCTGCCACTCACTTTCAGACATTAAGATTTATTTTTGGAATAAAGGCTTCAGGCTGCTTTCCACATGGGTTATGCTCTCCGCTTCATTCCACACACTGTTGCTGTGATTCATTCCCATCACCCCTTGGGGGCACTGTGCCTCTCAGCGGGTAGCCTTTCAGGAAGTAATGCGGAGTGAAATTCTGCTGCTCTGGGACCCTGATCTGAGATCAGTCCCCTCCCGAAACGGCAGCAAAGCCACATGACGTTTGCTGTTTAGCCAGCTGATGGCCTGCACAGTCTCTTGCACCTGTACATGAGGCCTGTGCCAGGCCCCCCCCGCCCCCCCCACTGCTCACCCTGCCCTGTGTCTGAGCTCTGCTTGGCCTGTGATTCTCCAGGCAAGCTTCCGGTCTGCTGCTCCGTCCGAGTGTGTCCCCCGGGTGTCTGTGAGCCGTGTCTGAGCGGAGCAGGACGGTATGAGAGAGATGGATGGGTAAAATGCGCCAGGCACCTGTACTGCTGTTTAATGACCTTCCCGCTTCCTGCCCTGCAGCTTCCCGCAGCCGCAGCCGTACCAACATCGCCCAGGAGGGGGAGCCAGAGCCCAGCTCACAAGAGTCTCTACAGGAAGTGATGCCAGAGGAAGTTCTTGTAATCTCACTGGGCACCGCCCCCCAAACTGTTCCGGGCATGATGTCCGAGAACGAGGTATGGGTCCTTTGGCCTCTAAGTGTTTAAAAAATAATAAAAGTTTGAGTGATACATGTTTGCTAACCCTGAAGCAGAATGTACTGTGGTGAGGTGTAAGAACAGGTGAATACTTACACTGTCAACAGCAGACCTGCTCAACTGGCCTCCCTACCTATTGTTTGAAATTCTCTCTCACTTCTCTGATTAAACGAAACATTGTAAACAGTCAAATTCCTTTAGGCAGTAGAGTTTTCCTGGATTAGTTAAGCTGACCTGGTGACCACCTCTCCCCGGCGCAAGGTGCTGACACTGCAGCTGGTAGACGGGGCGCAGGGCGAGGCCCCTGCTGACGATGCCAAGCTCCACGGCAAGCCGGACAAGACGCTGCGCTTCTCCCTCTGCAGTGACAACCTGGAGGGCATCTCGGAAGGTGCTCTTCCCCAGGCTGCCAGCAGAGGGCACACATTAACATAGCTGTTACGCTATAAAGTGGTTTAATAGCATGTTGAAAATGGTGCTTGTGTTTTTATTGACGCCTAGTGATCTTCTGATGCTGGAGAGTAGGAGCCTGCCAAACTGCTTATGGGCTTGTGTCTTCTGGGTTATCCACAGGGCCATCAAATCGCTCCAACTCGGTGTCGTCACTGGACCTGGAGGGCGAGTCAGTGTCGGAACTGGGGGCAGGGCCTCCCGGTGGCAATGGGGCTGAGGCACTACAGCTGCTGGAGCACGAGCAAGGTGCCTACCTGTCTGTGTGTGTGTGTGTGTGTGTGTGTGTGTGTGTGTGTGTGTGTGTGTCT